TCCAAAGGTCTTCAATGAAGTTGATTCACCCTGCTGCAACAAACCATCAGACAGAACTTTACAATCAGTGAAGTATCTGCAGTCATAGGTAATCCTTGCACTGATGGTGGGTTCTTTTCACATCACATCACATCACATTGACACTTTAATTCGACTGTTTTCAATTGATGTAATAACATGCTTTATTAGACGTCTAATAAATGTTCTCCAGCTCCTTTATTAGATTTCATTGCATTACTTTACAATATTACTGATTAAAGGCAAATACAGTCAGCATAATAGCTCTTATACAACCATGCGTCCATGTTGTAATCACATGATTTGTAAATGCTTTATAAACGACGTATTAGATTCATTATTCGACAACACTGATTCAGTCTTACAACAAGGCGAAATCAGTAGAGTAGTGGTTACCGTTTCCGCTTTCCAATTAGAAGGTCGTGAGTTCAATCCCAAGCTCAACCCTTTTTTATTTGTGTAGAACATAATTTATTTAAATAGTATTCATCGATCACATGACTCACGGTAATGAATGCATTGATCTAGTTTAAAATATAACCGAGCATCCTTTCTTTCGACTTGGAGATGTGAAGAGGCAACATTGGTCTCATTTAAAACAACGATGAATGAATTAATCATTCTCACTGGGCCTTGAAGGAGCTAGAGTTGCAATCGGGAGTGCTGATAGGTATTTACTTTCATACAAGCTTTTATAGATTATTGAATTGCCCATATGATGAATTCTAGGATAGCTCAGATGACAAGGCAAGCGGCTGGTGATCGAAAGGTACATGGTTCGATTCCCATACAATGGCATGTTATTATAAGTATTTAATAAATTTTCTAATATCTGTGTGGTGCGAGCCCACGTCAGAAATATTGAAATACAATACACTTAAGAAAAACACACCACACACCCTTCCCTTGTCCCTGTCCCCTGTCCTCTTATTTTCGGGTTAACTTTCCCACAGTTGAAAAATCGTTTATTAAATGTATAATAATGTCTCAATTAAACGTTACTTCACATGATAATCAAGCGTATACAGAGCATCACTGTTTTAAGGAAGCAGTGATGTCTAATAAACGCTGAATAATCAACAAAAATTATATCGTATAAACTCTGTTACAACTCAATATAAGTCGAATAAAAGCTTCTCGACATACCTTATACAACACCAGTAGTTCAATGTTGTGGTTGAATAAATTCTCCAGATTTGTGTGAACAAAGCCTGAACAGAAGTTATTATTAAAAATAGTACAAGTACTATTAAGCATGCAGTTGAATAAAATGGCCAAGAAGTCGTTTCTTCAATAGACGATTGTTTGTTGGGTAGTTGTTACCTTCTGAAAGCAAAATTGACAAATTTTATATGTCATACACACACTTTACCACCTCTTCTTGCTTCTTACAAACAAAAATTATTAGTATAGTATCCCATAGTTTCATAATTACGAAAACTAGCATTTAAGCTGTAATGAGCAATTGCAAGCCTATTTTGAAGTATGATGGAGAAAACTAGTAGCTAGAGCAACATGTGAAAAGGGCCTATGTACCAAATGTAAACAATGACTTTAAACGTTGATTTCTGGTGGATATAGACACATTCTGGCAAACCGACATGATCTGAGAGATAATGTGCTCCGTTAGATGATATAGTTAGTTTAAATGCATTGTTTACGTTTAGCTTGTATACTTTTTCAGATGTTTCTTGATAACGTTCTGGTGTACAGTAAGGAAAAAGTACCCAAATTAATCTCACTTTCACACAACATCTGGCTTCCGTGGGGCTTGGTAAAATTAATTTAATTAATAAAACTAAATTTTAAGTAATTACCTAACGATCAATCGAATGCAATAATGGAGCACGAACGAAGGCGATGGAGCACACAATAGTGACAGCATCGACGGCAGGCTGGTTGCTATGACTTTCATCCACAAATAAATTAAATGTTCTCTACAACATTACGGTTGAGTACTTTTAACTGAAAATTGTTTTTTTTTTTCTTCTTCTTTGAATCGCAGCGAGTTTTATTTAAATGAAATATACTGAAACATAGTTCGATATAATGAGAGAGAGAGAAGGATTAGTATTTTCCATTTAATTCCACTACTTTATTTGCTTATCCTTGACAGATACGCGTATTTCGTCTACAATGTGCAGACTTCTTCAGTGTCAGTGTCTTGTACTAATACTCGTATTAGTCGAGTATTAGTACAAGACACTGAAGAAGTCTGCACATTGTAGACGAAATACGCGTATCTGTCAAGGATAAGCAAATACAATAGTGGAATTAAATAGAAAATACATATCCTTCTCTCTCTCATTATACAGGTATTCCACTAAGACGCCCACATTCATCAGGATTCATAGTTCGATATATTTTTCGTTATTTCTTTTTTTTTTCCTTTGGTTTGTTTTTTTCGTCGATCTTGTTTTCCGTGCTGAGCACCAATGCTACCGACGTGCCAGGAAGGCAGCTCCCACATCTTGACCCTACCTATCGACCTATCAACTCATGAACCGGGGACCAACGGCTTTACTTCCCATCCGAAGGAAGGCGTGATCAGAGATGTTATGCCTCAGAACATCCCGGCGGCGCCGACTGGGATTGAACCCAGGCCTGCTGGGGTGAGAGGTAATCACGCTTACCACTACACCACCGGCGCCGTTATTTCGTTATTTCTTACAATTTACAAAAATACATCTTTCAAACCAACGTTCGAATGAAACCCTTTGTTTGTACAAACGTCTACTACATGCGCAACTACCCTACTATCTCAAGGGGTACATCTATCCTCACACAGATGTCGCTACAGTAGTAATCACAAGTGTCTCTTTCTGTTGTGTACTGTTTTGTATTGTACATATTTGACAAATAAAATTATAGTTCGTATGCCTCCGCCATGGCAGGACGGCCAATCCAACGGTCGTGTTTTACTTTATATAGTTCTCCGTAAACACAACGTAAATAGGGTCCAGCCCGTGCGCGATCACCCTTGACCATTTAATTCGAATCATCGAAATCGCTTTTTCGAATGATAGCTACAATCGGATGATGGTTGTTTTGTAATCAATTGATGCTCTTCTCGAATCCAGGATGAAAATTGGTACGAGAAGCGGACGGACTTCAGGTGAAATACGTAATGCTCTCTGTAGAATGATTGTCATCCTAAATTGAAATGCATATGGTATTGGTTTAGCCTCATAACGCAAATCATTCAAAACGATGATGTCAATAATGTCATCGAACGTCATTTGCTGATATGAGCTGACCAACGAGGTGGACACATAGTCGTCGATATCAGAGGTGGCTTAACATTGGTAAAGCTTCGAAAGCAAAGATTGTCTATTTCGCTACCAACAAACGATTTTTGTAACCATGATGGAATGGCTGTCCATGGCTATTCAATATGGAATGAAAACAATCGAATTAAAAATCTAGTTTAACGCATTCCCTAATAAAAATAGCCATAAAAGAAAGTTTAACGACGTGTTCGGGGTATCATCCAAACCAATTGTGGGAAAGTTCACGCATCTGGGATACAGTTCATTTATTGTATTTGTTTATTAGGGTTTGCAAGTCACCCTATTCTTAAATGGTTGTCCTTTGAGCGCTGTATGTTTTGCAGCCAATTTTCAAATAAATATCATCCTTTATCTGGATGACAGTATATGGATGCTCATCAGCTGATGACAAATTTAACCATAAGGCAATCATTTGAAATTTGAAAGCATATTGTGAAAGGGCTCGAGCAACGCAATAATTATTAGAAGTATTTCGGATGTTTTCGTTCAGTGTAGTACATTCAGACTATAGTTGCTCGGGAAAAAATCCGATTCCATTTCAATGAATAAAAAAATCATGAAATGGAAAAACTTGCCATTTCATGAAATCATAACAATTATTCATGATGGAAATTCATGATTTCATAATGCAGTGGAATCATGACCACTACAAGCGTTTGCGATTGCCTTCCTCTGTACTTCAGTACTGATAGTCTAGTGGTCAAAGTATGAGTTTAATGATCGTAATGTTCGTGGTTCGAATCCTGTTTGTTGCTTTATTTTATTTTTTTTACATATTCATGAATTTAGTTCATGATTTCAACTCGGATGTTTCATAATTTCTGGCCAAAATTAGTTTTTTTAACAATAACTTCAAATTTTGGGGGTATTAGAACAATTTCAAATGTTGTATCATGGTGGACTCGACTAGACTAACAACCTAAAATAGGTCACTTGAAAAATTAATTATTTTTCTTATATTTGTAACAGTGTAATAATCAATATGTAACTTGATGAAAATACGTTTGTTATAATTGAATTTCACGTCTTTCATGCTTGAGTTTTATGTCAGAAGTGACGCTCGTAATTGCCGATGCCGGTGAGTATGAGTTACATACTCTAATGAGTAGTTTTCTAGGGTGGTGCTTGTTAAGCACTCTAATGGAAGGAATACAGTTGTTTAAATTTTATTTCGCTTATTCTCTGTTCCCAACGCTTAGAATATGCATCCTCTAGCATGGTACACATAATATAAAAAGAAAATGGCTCCAAACTCAATGTCCGGAGTATAAGTAAGGAACATCCGTGAATCGGTGCTATAAGGAAAAATGCTCAGCAAATAAATATCACACATTTTTCCTCAGAACCGCCCTTATTTCATCAAGAATACTGTTAGTTTTATGCTTATCACAATCATCTCTGTGAGCACGAGAAATGTTTTCTCGCAACTTGCTCGGAAAGCACCTAACCCGGAGTGAACAAATGTGTCTGTATGTAGATGGAAAAAGCAACTTCACCATACTCCAAACACTACTGTATGTGCATACCTGCACGTGACCGCACTACAGAAAAGATGCTCGTAGAATAGTCGTACCCAAGGCCAACAAACGGGGTCCACATGCACAGTGCTGCAAAAGCACACACATCACAAATATTATCCATGGTTTAATATTTGCTTTTGCCCTCTTTCATTCTTTTTCTCATTAAACACAGGATCTGCCGACACCATTCTGCAAGGAGGCACGTCTAACCTACGTGCACATGCACGAGAAAGTTCCTCGTACGTTCTATTTCATCGTATCATCGCCAGGTGGCGTTGCAGAAGCGATCTTCAGCGTGAACTTTACGCTCAAGCACAAGACCACCGGTTCGTCGCTGCTGTCCTCGTCGTCGTCCTCGTCCTCATCCTCGGGCCCATTCGGATCGTCATCCCTCGCGTCGGCAGCGTCGGCGTCCGCTTCCGGCGGCGGTCTCAGCAACGGTGGCTCCGGCTATAAAATCAACACCAACACCATCAACAACCTGCCCGGCAACAGTCTCGAAGAGGACGAGGAGCTGATGGAACCGGAAGAGATTCATTTTCCCATCTTTGGCTCGGGCGCCAACTGCCCGCTATCCGTCTGTAAGCATCACTCTACTCTTTATCGTTGTTACTCCGTACTCCTAGCATTGTTGACGTGTTTTAGATATGTTTTATTAAAGTATTAATTAAAGCGTAATTACACGAACGCCCAGAAACCGGGAAAAGTGACGGAAACTGAGTGAACGAGAGAGTCCTTAGCGCGACTCCGGTGACATGGAAATTGTCCCGTTGAAACGAATGCGAGTCAAGAGTGCTTGTCTATGTCCGTGTATGTGTGTGTGTGTGTGTGTGTGCGTGTGCGAATGAACGGAGTTGAGTGTATTCGTGGGTGACACCCACTTCAAAAGTCCTAAACTTATCCTCTCTTGTACCCTCCATCCAGGTGGGGGTGTTCGGTTTTAACACATCCCTGACTTAGCTATTAAATTTCTCATCTGTAAGCAGGAAAAGCTTTTGACAGGTGGATTATCATTATTCACTTCCCCACAAATCAGCAGGAAAACACGATCCACTAAGCCCGAACACCTCTAACCGTGTCGTTCCTCTAATATTAAATACTCGCTCAAAAACCACACTCCAAAGCCAACCACACTTTGCTGTCACTCGAATCCCGCCAAATGAAGAATTAATATCCACGCGAAGCAGCAAACCGTAAAGGCGTAATTACATCACCACACAATAAATTTCGCTTGCCACCCTTGAAATTCCCCACCATGGAAGACATTCCAGACCTCCTCCACACCCACACATCCTCGTTCCCGCATCTATTTAACTGCATGTGGTAAATCTTATTTTAATTAGTCGTCAGTCAGTCAGCGTGCATTCAAAAGCTCTTCTGCTGGTTCTCGGATGCAGTTGCTTCGCTGATGTCGCCGTTGCCGTCGTCGTAAGAGCTACTTGGGTGCAATTTGTTCGTTTGCTAATCACATTTCCCTACGCGAGGATTGTTGGTTGGTATTCAAAGCACTATGCCACCGATGGGGACTATTCCAGACCCGCTCCGCTCCCTGCTCACGGTACTGGTAATTGCTGGTAATTTCGAATCAAATCCAATCATGTCTGCTGCCGTGTGGTTATTATGCAATGAGATCACCACCCCCCTCCCACCTCAAGTAATTATCGGTTGGCGCGGTGGAAATGTTTCAGTTGTGTAGATATAAATTTATGACAACGGTGAACATAGTTATGGAGAGCAGCCAGTGATTAGATAACTCCCTTACAATGAGTAAAACTAACGAAATACAAAAACACTTTAAGTTCAAAGTTTAAACATATTTCCGTAGCGTAGTTGACACACTAGAGTTTGTCTCAGCCGAACACCGGAAGTTCATAGCCAATTGGAAATTTTGGAAATGTGACGTTAGGTTGAGAGTAGCAACTGAAACATTGTAATCCAACTGTCCGGATATTTTGTTTGACCCGGATACGAACATGTTGTCGATACCGACTGTTGCGGGAAGGTAGATAGAGGATAAATTTTCTCCAAAGTTTCAGTGATGGTCGTCTGGCGACAGAATTATATGATCCGATGCCGGCGAGCTAAGCGTAGGAATTTTCATTGAATCACTTCAATAGCTATACCCAGACTCTATTGTATCGACACCACACAACTACAACGGATTCCAACATAGATCAGACTAATGCACTATACAGAGGTATTAAGCTGAAAGGAGTATCACGGAATTCGTCTGAAAATTTAAATTGCTTTGTTTCAATTTATGATCGAAACGTTACATCGGAATATTAAATCATACCTAGATCCCTGACCAGATGGATGATTGTTAAAGATGATCTTCAGTGTTCGATTTCTGCCATATGAAATGGTACTGCATTTGGCCAAACATAACTCCAAGAGAGTTAGTTTTCAGTATATCAGTAATCATGTCGATTCATGATTTCTGTAAAAATTCCATTTTAGGAGCAGTAATGCGACCTAAGCCAAAATAATGAAAAATTCCGTTAGAATTACATTGGTTTGAAATTTGATTTCGATTTCTACCAGCTGCAATATAAACATAGGTAGCTCCATTTACTTGCTGAACATTGTTGGCACCGGGTAGAGATGAAGAATTTTAAATGGAATTTTGGCTGGATGATGGACTATTTTTATCATCCGCAAGCATTTCAATTTGATTGCTCAATTGAATTTCATCAGAAAGGGGATCAAGTGATTGCCATTTTCTTTTGTGCTAAGGTGCCATGGAGGCAGAACCAAGTTTCTGTAAATCGCATTCCAAGCAGATTACTATAAGAATCCGAACGATCGAAGAGGAATGTTCCAAGTCGATGGCCAAGCAGGATTCCCTCGGGTAGGCTCCAAACAAGGATCGATAAGGAATAAGAGTCAAACAAGGTAAAAATGTTATAGATAATATTGAGCACTGAAAAGTGCTGTTTAAATTTGCTTCAGGTAGGAGTAACACTTCCTTCAACAAAAAGCAAAAAAATCCGGACGGCAAGAGAGCACACTATTCAGATGCTTGATTTTTATGGATAAATATCAACAAGCAAACAACAGCGCATGCAAATAAAAGCTGTGATTTCTTTGCTCCAAATATCAAGCTTATAAAGTTCGTCAGCTACAATTATCACCAAACTATGGTGAGTTTGAGTTTCATGATTTTTGCTTTACTTTCGAATAATGGATAATTTTAATCATGATCGTAGCATTTATGGCCACGTGGCCATCTGAGAGTTCAAGGGGTTGATTTGCCTACAGCTTTCGTTAGATGTTGTTGATTTCCGGGTTTCTTCTCCAAAACGCTGCGGACCGAATTGTTCTATCTTGATGGCTCCCCGATCATTGTGCGGCCGATTCTAGGTTGACAAGCCGTTGGAAATTTACGATTCGAGTCAGGAATATTCCCAAGTAACATTACAAGTTTAAATGAGGTTTTAAAGCATGCTACAAGTCTTAATCATGGTCTACAGAGCCCTCATAAAACCAAAATTGTTATTGGTATTTGTTATTGAGGTCAGCTCGGGTTCCGAGGGTTATCGCTGCTATCAAAAGGAAGATTCGGGTGAATCCAGTGCGTTCAATAAGGAAAATGGTAAAGGAACACGGGATCAGTGAGTTCACGGCACGGAAGATCGTAAAGGAAGATTACGGGGCGAAGTCGAGGGCACGGAAAAAAAACTTACATGATTACCAACCGCATCCGGGAGCTACGGGTCGAACGATGCAAGAAAATCTTGAACTTCCTAAAGCGATAAAATCCGGTAATCCTATTCACCGACGAAAGCATGTTTACCGTCGATCCCGTATCAAATTCCAGAACCGACCGGTATATTAGTTCTCTACCGGTAAAATACGTGGCCGATGAGCACAAAAACGTGTATCTGACCAAGCATCCTGCTAGCGTTATGGTGTTTGGATTGGTGGCTTCCAGAAGGCGACAAGGTCAACACGGAGGTCTAGATTGGGCTTTTAACAAAGTATGTTCTTCCGTGGATCAAAGAACAGTACAGTCCGAAGCCAAATGTTGTATTGCAACAAGATGGGGCTCCGTGCAACACCTCGAACCGCACTCAGAAGTGGTTGCAGGAACATCTTCCGATGAGCTGCCATCCAGCCCCAATCTTAATCCACTGGATTACTCAATATGGTGTGTAATGAAGGCCAAGGCCTGTTCTAAACACCACCCGAGTACAGCAAGCCTCAGACAAACATTGACCCGTACCTGGAGAGAAATGGATCCAAACTACAATATAAGAACCTGCCGTGTATTCCAGAAGCGTGTGGAGGCCGTAATTGCAGCAAGTGGAAACTCGATCGATGATTAACATAGTTTAAGACTCTGAGAAACATCCCCCCTTTGAATAAATAAAAAAAAAACTCGAAAACGAAATTTTTGAGATTTTTTTTAGTTTTGACATTGCTCAATGGTGCAAACATTATCACGCATACGGTAGAGTAACTTATAAACTCTCAAAAGAGATCGATTATAGTTCCATTTTGTACCCATTAAGAACTTGCAAAGAGGTTGAGCCTGAATTGCGTTATATCTCGTTCACATTACAGCTTATTTCACGTAATATAGATTGTCTTGCAATGAACACTCATACACAGGATTTCCAGTGAAAACTAGATGTATGAGTGCTCATTGCAAGACAGCTTTTCTCACGTGATATACGCTATAGTGTGAACGGGGTATTAAGGTGTTTACTATAATATATTTTGTGGATGCATTTTCCTGATACAACGTTCTATTCGTGATCATGAAAAAAATCAAATTTGCTTCTTTCTATGATTATTAAATTGCTAACAAAACCAAAGGCAAGTTTTCCTCTTTACATTCTGCAAGGATCATTTTAGCATTTTATTGGCTTAGTTCCCAGCACCAAATCTTTAACACTTAGAGTAATTTGTATGAGAAAATGCAGCCCTACTTCCTCATTTAGCTGACCGATCGTTACCACATGCTCCATTATTCACTCACATTTAACATCTATCATTTCCCTCATACTCCTCTGTGGTTCATTCAACCTTCGCCCCAACAAACAAACAACAAAGCGAGCCATCGGAAAAAAGTAGTTATCAATAAGTATATACGCAAGCTGAATACAGGAATGGAAACAAAGCTAACCAATAACATCAGTCAGAATTACATATTGCAATTCGAGATTATTTTTTAGGGAATGGTAAGTTGCGACAGCAACGCAAAAAAGCAAACAAACACTTACACACAAAGTTGAAAGGAACACAAAACCAAGCAAGGTAAGCTATTGCAACAATTATGAAAAGTGTAAAATATATACAAAATTTATTGAAGAAAAAGGAAGCAACATGTGCTTGTTATATGAACCACAAGGTAAGATCACAACTGATAAACCAAAACTATTTAATATTTAGCCTGTAAGTGATAACCAAAACACTACACATTAAAGGTGGCATAAAGACAACTTTTGAAGGAAAAAAAAAATAAACAAAGGAAAACTGTGAATACTAATTGTTGATAGTTTATTTTTCTCCTGTGTTAAATAGTTAAGATCAAATTGATGCATAAGAAGATAACAGAGGAAGTAAAACGCTACACTGGATGGCGAAAGGATTGTTTTAAAATTGTTGTGTAATTAAGCAAACGGATAAACAAAAAAAAACAGAACTGCGGGAATATCCCAGCTGGAAAAATTAGGGAACTAGGGCAGAGTGTAAGTAATTGGACGTTCTTTCTGACTATGCCAACTTCCTTTTCCTCGACGAAAAAACTCCATCGTTTGAGTTCTGTGCTCTTTATCCCCCTTTCGCCCAATCAATATACTTTACCCACTCACTCACTCTCTTTTGAACGAGAAGAACAACAACTTGTATCTTGTGCCAAATTTCTCTGAAGAAGATGAAGACAAACGAACATCTTCTACTACTACTACACACACTTACTCACTCACTCATACTTTCTACCACTTACATTCACTGCACAACAAAGAAAACGGACTCGGTAGTTGCTCCACTCGGTTATGGTAAGAAAATTATTTTGCATAATCCTCGCATTCTCCCCCGGATGAATTGGGTGGATCTCATGATGAGAGAGAATGAGGAGGGGAGCGGGTGGAATTTTGGCTTCCCTCGTTTATAACACACAGTGGCACCTTACTGCTCTCGCATCCAATTTCAGATATGATAAATTATTTCACTCCTTCTTCGATGCGATGGGGACGCCAACGGATGGCTCCGAAGACGACGATGACGACGACGACGGCGACGACGGTTGGTTTTGCTCCCAAGGTCCGGATGGAGCCTTTCCGATCGATGATGGTTGGTCGTAGCAACCAACCTAGGAACGATATCACAAATTCTATCACATCTCTTTTGGTGGCGATGCCGCTGCAGCTACATACGGATACGTTCACTGTGACGGGAAGGTATTGGAATGGCTTCGGGAACACAATTGGAATTTGAGAGTGGGTAAATTTTGGGGGTATGGTTTGGTGAAGCTATCCAGGATCGCATTGCACTGGCTTGAATGTTTTTGAACAACTAGAAATTTCGAAAGTTTAATGGGAAGTTTATCTTACTGTTCGCTTGATCTTGTGCTCAGCAAATGATTCTCCTGGGAAATTTACTTCCGCAGTCGTTCTACTTCTTCCACTCTTTGTTTTGGCTATAACTGAACCTGACCTCAGCTAAGAAATCTTTTAGCGCTGCCACAGTTGTTAATTGGGAACATTCTAGACCAGTAGATGTTTTGTATTCGATCATTGATTTTTGACGAAAACTGATGAATTTAACAACCAGAAAAGGTTCTTTTCCACACTAAGATCGAACATGCTGCGTTTGGCATGTGGTCTAGAAGTGGGCGCCGATTTAAAAATGGTTAGCAGCGACTTTTGGGTAATTTTGTTCACTGGCGGCGCACAGTGGGACATGGCCATTTGCGACGAAACTATTGAGTGTAGCATTTTGTTTGAGTGGTGAATATTTCTGCTTAAGGGGGATATACACTCAGATAAGATTTTTTTTTTTTATGTTTTGTTAAAATTGATGAACATGCATGGAAACATTGTAGATAGAGTTATTTTAAGAAACTTTGTCCAATACGACATTTTTCTATCTCTCATGTAGACGTAATTTGTTTGTTTTAATTTTCCAATTTTTTTAATGTTCTCACACGTTTTAAGTGCTTTGAAAATGCACATTTTTGCTCCAGGAATCAAATCGCAATCTCTTTGTTTAAAGGATTTACGTCCGTTTTTATAATTTCTAAGCAACATTTTTCAACCCTCAAATAAAGTACTCAAATATAAAGATCATTCTAGAAGACATCAAAATGGTACGCTCAATAGTTTCGTACCGTTATTTTTAATGTTTTGGGAAATTGTTTGACAACAGTTTGTATCTGGCTCATCAATGGATTGTTGGTGTTCGTTGTAAATGATGGAGGATTTCGAAATGTTATCTTCTAAAACAAGTGACAAACCTTTTGTTTCAGCTGGTATCGACTCTCATGGGGTGGTAATTTGAATCTATTTTTTCACGGCAGTCGTCTCAGATAGCCTTTTCAGTGAAGACAGTGGTTGAGGGAAACTTTTGGGTTGGACATTTTCTCGACTTCCCTGGGCATAAAGTGTTATTGTACTTGCCACAAAATATACAAATGCATGCATTGTTGTTGGCATCGAAAGCTCTCAATCAATAACTGTAGAAGTACATCTAGAACACTAGCTTGAGAACAGGGAAAACGCTCGCTACAGAAGCGTAAAAAGCCTAGAAGAGGAAGACGAATGCGTATTACTCTCCATTGAATGTTTTCTATCCTGTCAGATCCGTTTTGGTAGAAAGGATTCGCCTTCCCATATTTTGGCACCAACCGAACAACTGAACAATACTAAATTTTTAGACTGGATATGTCCTTAAGGCAAGTCCACACGTCTGATCGAAGTGTTTAAGCACTTGATATTTCATATGCACAATCACATTTATTTTAAGTGTATTTCACCATGGTTCAATGTGTTCTACACGTTGATTTCTTGTCTTTCAAACTTTGAAATGTTGATAATCTTCTCTATCGATTTAAATGTATTGCACATTGAATCACACTACTGTTCAAAACTGGTGGGTTTGAAGTGTTTTGCATTTCAATGCGATGTGAAATACTTGTTCTGCAAGGAACATTGAAAACATGAGTTGTGACTTCATACTTTTCAACCAGCCTCATATATGAGACGACCGTTTGCTAGTGAGATCGAATGAAGACAACTGTATCAGCACACCCAAAACGGTCCAAGATCAATTCCCAAATCAGACCCATTAAAAAAAATCATGTGTATGCTCTGCCCTCTGGCAGCGTTGTTTATATATGTGTCGATTTAATTTTTGAGTCGGTACATTAGAAGTCGATAAAGTAGAATATTGAACTATGATGTGCAAAGTTATTGATATCATCATGTGAGGCACATAGCATCTAAGTTTTTTTTTTTTTTTTTTTTAATCTTTATTTTAGAGATTTTTAGCCTGAGGCTAGTTCATCTCTTAAGCATCTAAGTGATTCACACATGAAATGGATGTGTTTCACAATAAGTGCAAAATAAAGTGTTAGGCTCAAGGTGTGGTACTATCGGTACACTCAAGTGTATGTGTAGTGTACATAAATGCTGTCAACCAATACCGGGTACACAGCAAAAAAAAAATGTAATATCGATCAACGTAATTCAAGCTGATGTATGAAATAATGATGTAATAGCAAAAAGCAGATACAATGGATGCAATTTTGTTCGCAAAATCGATGTACATCGTACAATGTGATATTACACAACCGATGGATTGACCTGGTTACATCAGTTTCGATGTAATATTCAACAACTTTTTTTGCTGTGTAAAGAGAAGAGAGGAGATCATTAATTTGGTGGATTCTTCTGTTCTAGATGACGTCACGAATGACTCATTGGGGCTCTAGGGGTTGAGAGGGATCCCAATTAAGTTTTTAGTTGTAAGATCCATCTATTCGGACATGAGGTCAATGGTGGAGACCAGTGCATATCAATTTTAGTAAAATGTAACATTGTAAATATTTTGTTGTTCCAATCAATTGGTGTACAGTGTGTTCGGTTAATCATTAATTCGGAGTGCAATTAATCCTGTACCGTTTGACACAATTGTATTGGAAGAGAGCAGAATTAGGAGTGAGACCTAGCCCAATTACTGCACGGAGCCACGGTATGCAAATTTACCCAATCTTTCTGTGGGCAAATAACCAAAATTTTGTGTTGAGGCTTAGTCGAAGAAAAGTCCACAACAGTTAGTCTGAGATTCCTAAAAATCATTTAATTGCACAGGAAATGTGAAGACAAATCATCAATATGATATCTAGTATCCCACCAAGATCGTCCAAAGTATCGAGATAGACAATTTAATTCACGGCGAAGTAGCAAAAGTAAATTACTCGGTCTTCAAAAGGGAACATGGCGTGAAGGAATACAAGGAAAATCAATAGTTGTACCACGGTGGACGAGATGCGTTTAGACTGGTGTATGGTTGACGACAGCAACTTATGAAACGTACAGAATACAGTTAACAAATCTGCGAGTGTTAAAATGAGGAGGGCTTTAAGAAATATGTCTCCTTCGAAGAGGCCAGAGTCAAACCACCAGGCGCAGGAATATCAAAGGAGGGCTCAAGATTTTAACGGAAACTACTAAACGTGCCCTTGGCGTTTAATTGAAGATAGAGCCTCGATAGTAGAACGGTCTGTCTTAATCAGTATGACGTGCATATTAGTTTTAACCGAAGACAACATTTCAAGAAGACTGGCAACATTTCCAGAATACAATCGCCAGATACTCAGGGAAGTTCAAAGAAGTTCAGTAACAATGAGAGATTTTGATGAAATTCCGTGAGCTTAAATGAGGTTTTCAAAACAGCTGGAAAATGGTGGGAATCTTGAGGATGATCAAGGAAATTCAATTATCTTCAGGTACATGAGTTGATGGGTCGATATGTAGGATCCAGGTGTGGCAGCTGCTTCCCTGTTATCGGTAGCATTAGTTTTCAGTACGGAAAACACATCAAGGAAAAACAATTAACTTCAGTAAAATTACTGGAAGTTTAAAAAGATACTTAGAATCATAAAGGAAGTCTAGACCAAAGCAACCAAAAGCTCCGCATTCCACGATAAAATCCACTTTCAAGTTCGATAAACTTCAAATAAAGTTCCTACAGGACTTTCAGGGTGCTTTAAGAGCTGAATAAAGCTCATGACTTCCCGCTTCACAAAGTACCGATGCGTACTATTAGCAATTTAAATTAAAAAAAAAAAAGTTCCAAAAAGTACCTCTAGTCCTTCTGCCAGGCAAGGCTGCAAACATGGCGTAGAAGAGAATAAAGATTTTTTTTAATTTTCCAACAGTGTCGTTCAAGTTCCGCCGAAAGCTGCTAAGAACAAGGAGGTGGCACCCCTATCACTGACGAACCGCCGTGACAGCTCATACAAGCTACTTTCAAATTTGAGCCCAAGACGCCATATTTAAAATACGTTAAACACTACCGACATCTACTCATCCGATCACGCCATACCATGAGCAAGGACACGAACCCACGTATATTTTATATTGCCTTGGTTTGCGTCTCGCCCGCTTGAAAGTTCGAATCGCTAGTTTGACAATTCGAATTGTGGACAAACGAAATGCTTCTGTGGCATGTCGGTTCGTTCGTTCTCTACGTTATTTTTTTGTATATTGCTTTATTTTTTTTTTCCGTGTCGTGGACATTTACCACTGCGACCAGTGTTTTGATCTATTGTGGTGTATCCTCTTTTTACTATTTGCCGTGTGTTTTGATGATCAACCACTATGTAGAGTGATCTTCATCATTGATCATCGGCATTATCCCAATATGGAATTGCACTTCGAATGAAGTTTACAACTTTATTGGGTATACTGGTCCAAATTCCTTCAGGTACGATGAGTCCTTTATCAAGAAATCTGCATCGTTTATTAAATAAAGCAGTGCAATCACACAATAAATGTTCAGAGCTTTCGCTCTCCAAATAACAAAAGCGACATCTATCGTCGCTAAGCTTTCCAATGTTTTTAAAATGATATTTACTAGGACAATGTCCTGTTATTAATCCAGTGTAGGTGCTTAAATCTTTTTTGGAAAGATTGAGTAACCTTTGCGTACTCAAAACGTTGGGCTTAATGAATTGTTTAGATTGCCGGGCTGTTGAGGTATTATTCCAATTGGATTGTACCTTGCTTTTTTCCCAGTTCTTTAATTCCATTTTCAGATTAGAAGGCGATAGACCAATAAATGGTTCGGGACCAATACATTTCTGGGATGAGCCAAACTTTGCTAATTGATCAGCTTTTTCATTTCCTTCAATGCCGCAATGACCAGGAACCCAATATAGATTTACCTTGTTACGACAGGACAATTTCTGAAGTTGATTATAGCATTCCCACACTAACTTTGAAGTGTAGATCATTGATTTAAGGGCATTCAATGCTGCTTGACTGTCCGAAAAAATGCATATGTTTGCATTCCTATAATTTCTTTTTAAACATATTTCTACACATTCTAGAATCGCAAATATTTCTGCTTGGAATACTGTTGGCCATTTACCCATTGCTACAGAACAGTTAATTCCGGGACCTGTTATTCCTGCCCCTACCCTGTTATCCTGTTTTGAGCCATCCGTGTAGAATGTTATAGTCCCAGGACGAATCAACGGCCCTCCAGTCTCCCAATCATTGCGTGTTGTATTAAACACATTAAATAGATGGTTGAATTCATGAGTTTTTGCCATAAAATCTTCATTCTTTAAAATTAGTGGACTTAATTGAATATCTTTCAAGATGCTCATATGATTTTTAAGATCTCCTTCAAAGAGCTCTTTTGTTCGTCTGAGTCTGAGAGCATTCTTCATTGCATCCAGTTGAATGAATTGATGTAAAGGAAAAGATTAAGCAAAGCTTCTAAGGCTTTAGATGGAGTACTGCGCATTGCTCCAGTTATGGAGGTAGTGGCCAACCTCTGCAGTTTTTCAAGTCTTTGTTGAGCTGTTTTTTTGCACTGTTTTTGGCCACCAAACTAGTGATGCATAAATTATTCTTGGTTTTACTATAGCCGAATAAATCCAATGTAACATTTTAGGTTTGAGTCCCCATTTCTTGCCAAACGTCCTTTTACTAATCCAAAGAGCATTGGTTGCTTTTTTATTACTTGTTCTAAATGTACATTCCAATAGAGCTTGCTATCTAAAGTTACTCCTAAATATTTTACTTCCGAAGAATATTTTAATTCTGTTCCTTCCAAAGAAAGTTTTGAAAATAAGACTTTTCGTCTTTTTGTAAAGGGTACAATCTTTGTTTTTGAAGGATTTATTTTCAATCCTTCAATCTTGCACCACAGTGTAGCTACATTTAATGCCGTCTGCATTCTGCTTGATATGATTTCATCAAATTTTCCGCGGACTATTATCACTATATCATATTGTTTTATTAGTCAGTATTATATAATAAGAAGGAAAATCAATTATTTACAATATAATTAACAATTTAAGTTCAAGTGGAATTCTAAAGCTTGCACATTGATTCTATCGTTGGAATCGTTAATATATTATATGTATTTAGCGAACAGTTTCATTATTTATGTTCGTCTTCTTCGATCGATTCTCTCTAGGGCAGGTCTGATCAGATCGTCAAACGAGAGCTGTAGCCACCCATTTAGAATAACAGCTATCTTCTGCTGCAAAATTGTCCAAGCTGAACCGACACGACGACAGGAGCAAAATTTGTGTTGCAGTGTTTCGGCTGTTCGGTTGTCACAGTGGGTGCATTCTTCGTTTTTCCTCTCTCCGCATCACGAAAAGAAGTTTTCGGTGATCAATTTTGCCGTTGACCGCCAGATACAGACTGCAGTAGTCGTAGCGAGCATAGATGCAGGCCCACGGTCTGGGCCCGCTTGGATCGCTAAGAATGATATTCAATTATGGATGGCCAAGAATGATATTCAATTATGGTACCGGAACTTTCAAGTTCGGATAATGACTTAAATATGAGGCTGCTAGAATGCTACAGCTACAGCTGCTTAAGCCTTAAATAGCCTTTTATCAGAGTGTTTTGTTACTTAGTGAGAACTTAAAGAAAGCTCAGAGATCTTTCGGGCAGTTCCACGTAGGAGTTTCATCCGGTAATTTTGCTATTGTTCGTATTTTTATTTTTATATTTTTGGTTGGAAATGTTATTAGCTACAGAACGGTCTGACGAGGATAGGTTGATAGTTCCGCTGGAGTACGACAGTACGAAATTGAATAGAAATTGAAAATGAGCGAAGGACCATTAATGCGACAGTACTAGTTAAACGCACACTTCATTACCTAACTCATACATTAATGGATGAGGAGACTTGAAGTGTTTCT